ACCCTGGAGCTCGGCTCCACTGCAAAACATCCAAACTCCCAACGAGCCCTGGGAATGGGATCCCCACTGGGAATGGGATCCCAGCCCTGGGAATGGGATCCCAGCTCTGGGAACTGGATCCAAGCCCTGGGAATGGGATCCCAACCCTGGGAATGGGATCCCAGCTCTGGGAACTGGATCCAAGCCCTGGGAATGGGATCCCAGCCCTGGGAATGGGATCCCAGCTCTGGGAACTGGATCCCAACCCTGGGAATGGGATCCCAGCCCTGGGAATGGGATCCCAGCCTTCCCAAGGAAAGCCTGGCTCGGCCCCAATCCCACATCCCATGGTGCAGCTCCCGATGTTCCTGCAGCGCTTTCCTTCTCTCCCATGAAAATCCCATTTCTCCGCAGACCCAACAAGGAGCTTCTCCCATCCCAGGGAGGGGCAGCTCCAGGCTGGGAAAATCCTGGGGTGAGCAGCTGCTGCTCCCATTGGGATGGAGAGCGGGATTTTGGAGCTAAAAAGTTCGGAAAAAAAGGAAAAAATTAATATTTGTGTTGTTTTTCAGCTTCTTGCCTGGGATGAGAGCTGGATTTGTTGGGATCCCACAGCCAGGAGGTCATTGCGGTGTTTTAGGGAGCATCGGGGTGAGCTGGGGGAGGGAGATGCCATGGAGGAAGAGGAGGAGGAAGAAAAAATTAAGTTAATCAAATATTGAAGGAAAAGTTAGAGTTAAGGGAGAAATGAAAGGAAAAAAATTAAATTAAAATAGAAGAGAAAAAATAAAATTACAGCAGAAATTCAAGCCAAAGCAAAAATTGATGTTAAAACAAAAAAAATTAAAGTTGAAGAAAAATTGAAAGGAAAAAAAATTAAAGTTGGAGCAAGAATTAAAGGAAAATTTCACTCAGCCCAGGCTCGCTGAGGATGCTGCAGAGGATCCCAGTGTTCCCTTTGATTCCAGAGTGGAATAAAAAGACAGTAATTGATTTCAGGGGTAATTAAAAACCCTCCTTTATGCATCAAATGCAGAGGTGAGCGTGAAATCAAAGAGATGAATAAATACGAGGTAAGTAAATAGGAGCAGGGCAGGGAAGGTGAAGGGAGAAGGAAAATAAATCCCAATTATGGAGGTAAAAGATGAGAGGTGGTAGAGAGGAGGAGATGTGGTGAGAGTAGAGATAATCAGAGCATTAAAAAATGGGGAAAAACAATCAAAAGAAAGGAAAATCAAGAGCAGATGCTGAGGAGGGATAAGGGGCGGCCGGTGGAGCAGGAACAGGCCCTGGACTGGAGGGATAATTGGATTTTAGTTCATCTCGGGGCGATAAGAAACTCCCGGTGTAGGTTTTTTATTCCTGTATGAAGCATATTTTAATGGGATATTTGAATACACCCCGAGAGAAAAAAGGCAGGATTTCCCACAGTTCATGTGTTTGTTTGCTTGGAGGCTTTTTGGGGTGAAATGGGGCTTTTCCTGCACTCGGCAGCGTTTGGGGCGAGCAGGAGCCGCAAAGGCAAGGAAAGGGCCAGGGGAACCTGGAATGGATGGAGAAGGAACTCAGAGCCCTTTTGGTGTCCCCAAAAGCAAGGAAAGGGCCAGGGGAATTAAGGAATGTCTGGAGTGGGAAGGAGCCTGTGCCGTGTCCCCGCGCTGGAGCGGAACGGGTGAGCCGGGAGCGGAGCGGAGATGGCAGCGATAGGGCAGGGCTGGCACCGGCCCCGCTGCCCCGGCCACCCCTCATTGCTCCAGGGTCACCTCTCTGGCCACCCCTCATTGCTCCAGGGTCACCTCTCTGGCCACCCCTCATCACACCGGGATCACTGCCCCGGCCACCCCTCATTGCTCCAGGGTCACCGCTCTTGCCACCCCTCATTGCTCCGGGGTCACCTCTCTGGCCACCCCTCATTGCTCCAGGATTACTGCTCCAGTCACCCCTCATCACACCAGGATCACCGCCCCAGTCACCCCTCATTGCTCTGGGATCACCTCTCCAGCCACCCCTCATTGCTCAAGGGTCACCTCTCCAGCCACCCCTCATTGCTCCAGGGTCACCTTTCCAGCCACCCCTCCTCGCTCCAGGATTACTGCTCCAGTCACCCCTCATCACACCGGGATCACTGCCCCGGCCACCCCTCATTGCTCTGGGGTCACCTCTCCAGCCACCCCTCATTGCTCTGGGGTCACCTCTCCAGCCACCCCTCATCACACCAGGGTCCCCTCTCCAGCCACCCCTCCTCGCTCCGGGGTCACCGTCCCGTGACCTTGCTGTGGGCACGGAACGGCGGCGGCCGGGGATTAATGGGATGTGAGGATTGGGGCCCTGAGGCTCACCTGGCCCTGCCTGGGAACCGCGGCTCAGGTGGGAGGGGCAGGCCTGGCCCGGTGCCACCGGCCACCAGCCGTGGGGACACCGGGAATCTGCTCCGGCGTGCGCGGGGTCACAACGGCCCTGGGGGCTCCGGCAGCCGGGGGCCACACACAGGTGTGGGGTGTGCAGGTGTGGGGTGGGGGCAGCGGCACACCTGGGTGGGAAACACCTGGGAATGGAAACACCTGGGAATGGACATAGCTGGGAATAGACATAGCTGGGCATGGAAACACCTGGACATGGAAACACCTGGACATGGAAACACCTGGGAATGGAAACACCTGGGAATGGACATAGCTGGGAATAGACACAGCTGGGCATGGAAACACCTGGACATGGAAACACCTGGACATGGAAACACCTGGACATGAACACACTTGGGTACAGACATAGCTGTGTGCTTGTATGTACATGGCAC